CTTTACATTTAGAGCCTGGAATTTTTCCTCTCAGCCTTACAAGGACTGGGGTAGAAAGATGGACTTCAGCTTAGCAACAAAGCTATAGGAGCTGCCTTGGCCTACGTGTGTCCCCAGGTCTTGTAACTTACGTTTTCTCACCCTGTTCAGGTGGGTCAAATCCACGGAGGGCTCATGGGTGTGATACAGAGAGCCATGGTGAAAGCTTGCCCCCACGTCTGGTTTGAACGTTCTGAGGTCAAAGACCGTCACCTCGTTGCCAAAAGGTGGGACAGCTGCTAGCTGGAGGCTGGGAAAGGGTTGGGGGCTGCTGTGTGGATTGCCAGGACAGCTCCAATGATGATTGGTGACTCTCTTCTGTTTAGGCTCACAGAGCACGTCCAGGACAAGAGCAAACTGCCTATTCTTATCTTTCCTGAAGGTGAGTTGAGGAGTGAGGCCAGGCAGGCACCTGGTGGAGGAAGGCACAGCAGCCCTCCTGTCTCAGTGATGTTACACATCTTGTGCACATACAGAGCAGGGTTTGGAGTGTCAGGGGCAATTGCTGGATTGCCTGTAGGTGTATAGCTTAGACTTCTGAACTGACCTGCAAAGATTGTGCTTGTCTCTTACAGGAACCTGCATCAACAACACGTCCGTGATGATGTTCAAAAAAGGGAGCTTTGAAATTGGAGCCACAGTTTACCCTGTAGCCATCAAGGTATGAGAAGGCAAACGTTTTTACAGCAGAAATAGTTTTCTGCTTACAAGGTCAGCATTGATAACCCAGTATTGGCACTACTGGGTCACAACGGCCTGGTCCTCAGACCATGGGATATGGGGATGCTGAGCACTGATGTGCAGTGGGGGAGGGATGATCCATAATTGGATTTGATGTAGAACTCAGAGCCTCGGGGAAGGTGCATCCATTACCTGACATTCATAAGCTCTCCTTCCTCCACAGTATGATCCACAGTTTGGAGATGCCTTTTGGAACAGCAGCAAGTATGGCATGGTGACCTACCTCCTTAGGATGATGACCAGCTGGGCCATTGTGTGCAGTGTGTGGTACTTGCCCCCAATGACCAGACAGGTAGGTAAGGTGAACCTGCCCTGTCTGATCTGCTGCCTGTTTGGCCTCATGCTCTGTCTGAAAACAGTGTCGTTTTCCTTCAGTGTGATGAGGATGCTGTCCAGTTTGCCAATCGAGTGAAGTCAGCTATTGCCAGGCAGGGAGGCCTTGTAGATCTGCTCTGGTGAGTCTTGCCAGACATTTCTCCTCCCAGCTCTATTCTTTGTTCTTGGGTCCTGATAACGTGTTTGTAAGCTGCAAAGCTGAGTTTGTGTCTTGCACTGGGCAAGTAGACCTGTGTAGAAATGGGGATGCATGTCCAAAACTGCCTTTCTATAGTCAAGACCAGCATTTTGACTTCTGTTCTGTGTGTTGGGCACCAAAATTTCATTCTCTGAATGCAGCTTGCTCTGGGATACCCCAGTTCTTACTTGATGTTGTTCAGCAAAGCATTGTGAAGCTTGAGAACCTCCCTTGTCAGGCATTGAGATCTTTGGAGCCTGAGAGGTTGAGGGTCCCTGCAAGCAGCATGCTGCAGTGGTGCTGGATGTGCTGAGCACTGTGCAGGGCTGTGTGTGACATTCTTGGCAGAGCATGAGGTGAAAGGAGCTGCCCCTGTGTACAGTCAGCCTTCAGTATGCCCTGTTAACCTAAGGGACAAATGCACTCATCGGGTTGATGTGGGAGTTCCAGCCTGCTCAGAGCAGCAGTGTCAGTGTGTTCCTTTAGCTGCATTGTAAATGATTCTTTTTCTAGGGATGGAGGTCTGAAGAGGGAGAAGGTGAAAGATACATTCAAGGAGGAGCAACAGAAACTTTACAGCAAAATGATTGTAGGCAACCATGAAGACCGGAGCCGCTCCTGAGTCCTCTGTCTCCAGCACTGTCTCCAGAGCTCTGCCTCCAAAGTGAGCCAGGTCTTGTACAAAGCAGCTCCATTTCTTTTGGACTTTGGCTACTCCAGAGCTGTTTGGACTTACTCCTTCATCTACTGGCTCTTCTTTCCAGGAGGCATTATTACTGCCTAAAGCCTTCAGGCCTTGGGCAACTCTTGGCACAGATGCCTTCTTGTTACTGTTACAGTAAAGCCCCTTGCAGGGGCAGTATTAAATGAAACACTTCTGGTGTCATATGCTTCCATATGGTGTTTACAGGCCCAGGGGGAGGGCTGGTGTGTTGATGTGCATGTGTGTCAGTCACAAGTCTCCCACGGCACAGAAACTGGTGAGCTGTGCTCAGATAAGCTGCCTTGACAACCAAGGGAACCTTACAAGCCTGTGCCTCTCAGGGCTGCAGCACAAAACGCGTATTGCTGCTCCAGCCTCCAGGCTCATGGAGCTTTTCCCTGCCTCAGGTCCTTCACACTGAGCCCCCCAGGTGTGCCCTGCTCTGAGTGGCTTTGGGGAGCCACAGGGAGGATGCCCAGTGCCCCCTTGGTGTCTCTGCACTGAGCTGCAGACAGGCATGCCGCACTGGGCTGGGGACATGAGCATCACTGCTCATTTGGGGCAGGTTCTCCAGTCTCCCTTCACCTTTCCCCAGCCACTTCTCCCTGAGCATTGATCACAACCAGCGCTCCACTTTTCCAGAGGGACGAGGCATTGCTTTTGGCCGTGCAAATAGCTGCACACAGAGGCAGGGGCTGTGCCAGGAGCAGGCGTTGCCATGCTGGGTGCCCATAATACCCCTGCACCCAGAACTCAGACCTGGCTGCAGTTGCTTGCTGGTCTGCCTGCAGCAGGGCCCTGGCTCTGTCATGGGTGCTGTGGTGGCAGCAGCAGCCTGTGGCTCCTGGCTGCTTCCATCCTCGTTGTGCTTGGGGCCCATCTTCACCGTCCTGCTGCCTCTGGGATGCTGTGCAGCAGGCTGGGCAGGTGAGCAAGCACGCATCCATCTTTCCTCAGCTCCCCCTCCCTTTACTCCCAGTCAATATGTCTCTCTCCGATGGGAAAGTTAATAAATTTAGCTCTAGATTAAAAGTATTGATCATTTCATTTGTAAGCGATAAATAACCGGGGGGAGCGTGGGGCAGCCCTTGGGGTAGGGGCTGCCGGCCCTGGCAGCAGCAGCCATGCAGCCCGTTGGGGCTGGGGGCCCTCATATGCATTCTGCCCAGATGCTGGCATTGATTTGCTATTAGTCTCCCCACACCACCCAGTAGCACATCATTCCCGGAGCCGCTATTAATGGCCTTTTGATAAATAATCACTTGTAAGTCAATAAATTTTTATTAAACAGTGTGGCGCTTTGATTTATGAAAATCCGACGGGGTTTGTCTGGGAGAAAAGGGATGTGGAATTGAAACGGAGCTGCCATCCATCTGCCTGCCAGCCCACCCTGCTCGAGCTCCAGAGTAGTGCCCAGTGAGGAGCACAAGGAGGGCCTGGGACGCAGCGCTGGCTCTCACCATGGCCTGGGCTCTGTGAGCCCTGTGAGCTCCGGTGCTGGCTGGAACATCCACAGCAGCCATCAGCCGTGCCACGTGCTTGGCACCATCCATTGGTTCTGGCTGCAGGGCTGCGGGACGAAGAGAGCTGGAGGTGGGATTAATCCTGCACTGCAGCCCTGTGAGCAGCTCTGCAGCTCAGGTACAGCCGTGGGATGCTGAAGGCAGCCAAGCTGTGGCTGCGATTTGTCACTCCTGGGCTGCAGCCGGCCCTTTGCCACCTGCTTTATTTGTCTCCCAGCACTGACGTGGCATCAGACAGGTGTTAAACTACTTAATCACTTTAAAATTGTTTTAATTTTCTGTTTTCTATTGATCTCCACAGCACCAATTAATCAGCTCACTGGACCAGGCAGTTAGTACATTAAAAATTGTCAGCCACGTCGAGCAGCTTAGAAAATGTCAAAAAAATATCCCAGCAGCAGCCTCACACTCTGGCCACGCAGAGAACGCTCCTGCACTGCAATGCCCAGGGATGGTGCATGACTCCACAGCCCTGCAGCCAAGCAGCATCAGCTCAGAGGAACCCAGGGGCCGTGTGGTTGGGGTATCATTGCACCTCCCATGCTTGCTGGGGTAGTTCAGCCTTCCCCAAACCCCCAGGATGTGCAGCAAAGCTGTCCGGGATACCTGCAGAGCTCAAAGTGCGATGGAAAGCAATGACCTGGAGCTGTGTGTGTGCCTTGGGGCTGGGCAGCTGGAGGCCCAGTGTCAGCCTGCAGCATCCCAGTGCCATAAGGGAGCATCGGGGGCTGCTGTGATGCAGGACCTGCGCTGTGCAGGTGGGGACGTGGACACTAATGCTGCCTGCAGCTGCCAGAGGGGCCCCCAACACCACCTCCGCTCCCGTGCCACGCTGCCAACCGCTGCGCAATGGCCCAGCAGCACCTTATCGTTGCCTATTGATTTCTCCACCAGGACACCGCAGCACTGTTTGCTTGCACTTTGTCAGCTCTCGGCGGCCCCAGCAGCAGCAGCCCCTTGGCACCTCAGGCAGCAAGGACAGGTGGTGGCCCTGTGCCATCAGCAAGCAGAAGCTGAGCCAGTGGGAGCTGAGGAGGGGGGCACAGCCCCAGGAGTGCATGCAGCCTGCACCGAGCTGGGTGCAGCATGGGGGGGCCCCCACAGGTTGGCAGCAAACAAGCCAGGGCTATTGCTGTCGCATCAATCCTGCAGCCCCGACAGGTGAATGGGCTCTCACTCACACAGTTAAGATAAATGATATTTATTTGCTGCTAATAGGTTCCAACAAGAGGCCCTAACGAGTGACTTTTGGACAGCACTTCTTGCTACCAGCACACACCCAATCTGGGGGAACTCTGGGGGACATTCCTGCCCCATACATGGACCCCCAGCCTCAGCCCCTTCCCAGCCCAGCTTTTGGGGCACCCCGCATTGCAGACCCATGTGGGGCAGGGGCTTTTATTTCACTGCTGCTGTTCCCAGACCCTGAGCCCTGGACAGGAGCTGCAGTGGGGGCACAGCAGAACCCATTCCCAGGTGCTCAGCCACTGTGTGTGCCCAGCCCCAGCACAGAGAAGGCTGCACGGTGCTTCCTCAGCAGCAGCCGAATCTTCTCATCGTCAGAGTCAGGGTCCAGGGGCTTGTTGTACTCATCATCCTCGGTCTCAGAGGCTGCCCGCTCTCCACTGGAGCCCCCCGCCCGCTGCGAGGAGGAGGAGGGCTCCAGGGCACTCTTCTTCCTCCATTTGGTGCGTCGGTTCTGGAACCAAACCTGCAGCCCAACAGGGCTGTTAGCAGCCGCCTGCCACACGCCCCACACACCACACAACCCCCACTCACCTTCACCTGGGACTCAGTCATGCCGAGGGAATATGCCAGCCGTGCCCTCTCTGGCCCTGCCAGGTACTTGGTCTGTTCAAATGTCTTCTCCAGAGCGAAGATCTGATGCCCTGTGAAGGTCGGACGCGTGTGCTTCTTCTTGTGCAGGCTGTCAGTCAGGTGTGCAGGGGCTTTGGGACAAGGGCAGTGGGTGAGCACCGGATTCATGGCTCTGGGCAGCCCAATCCCCACGCCCCTTTATGCCGCTGCTCTCCTCCAAAGTAAAACAATATCCTGACTCCACAGCTTCGACCTTGTCCCGGGAGAGCCGTGTTGCCTCCAAGGCTGGGCTCTGCACCTCCTGCTTGGGAGCAGAAACTATCTGCTGTGCTGAGAAGGGAACAAGCATTAGGAGCAGCATGTGACTGTGGAGCCACGCTGCACTGGGAACACTGTGCCCATGCCCCCCACCTCCCTAAGCGTGCAGTGGGAAGGAAGCACGAGCTGATCCATCTGCTCCACGGGCATCACCTGGAGAGGGGAACAGGGCTGCAGGTCACTGAGCCAGAGCCCCAGCCCCTGGGTTTTCTGTGGGCTCCTAACGAGCTAATGCCTGTGCTCACCCAGCACAGTCCCATCATGGCAGCAATGCGCTCCTCAATGCCCCTGCCAGCTGCGTGCCAGCCATGACAGACCTTGTTCCTGGCATTCACCAAGGGATGCTACTGCCAGGGGTTGGGAGTCTCTGTGAGTAGATGGTCTGTCTGTGCTCTGCCTGTGCTCTGCCTAAGCTCCCCAGCCGTGCCCCCCCAGCACATCCCCAGGTGTCAAGCTGTGCCTCACACAAAGCAATGGAGGAGATGGGGGTCCCACCAGCTGCCCACCCTCTCCCAGCCCCGTACTTACGGCCACCGCACTGCCGGCTGCCCTGCCAGTCGGGTGCCTCTGCCCAGCAGCTCCTGCCCCGTGGCACGTAATCGCTGCTGGCTTTAGGGAGGGCCCCCACCTGTGGCCCATAATAGACGCCTGGGGAGCTCAGTCCATTAAATCCACCTGCGTGGGGGTAGCTGGGCAGTAGGCTGCTGTTTGGAGTCGCTGTGGGCCGGCCGAGGATGTCGGAGATGCCGTGTGGGGTGCCGGCAGCCAGTTGGGCACCCAGCCCAGGGGGACCCAGCTTGTAGAAGGAGCTCTGCACCGAGTACTGGCAGACAGGTGCCTTGGCCTCAGGGAAGGGGGCCAGTGAAGGGCCGCTGAGCAGGAAGGTGCCTGGCAGGTTGGTGTCCATGGCTCCTGGACTGCTCTCAGAGGCTGGCACTCCGAGGGCATGATGCGCAGCCCATCCCGGTCGGCCTTGGGGCTACCGGCTCGCAGGGTCCACACCAGCTGCCACGGCGCCAATGGGCAGCCGAAAGGCTGGTGAGCTGCCCCAGGGGGGCCAGGGCCACGACAGCAGGTGGTCACTGCCTCGGTGGCAGCTGCCCCCGGCTGACCCCGCACCCGACGTGGCACCGGCACCGGGCACTCAACTTGGGCTTGGGAAGAGGCAACATTTCTCTGATAAAGATGAGGTCTATTAGAATACGGCGCTCCCATTGGCCGAGCGGTTTCAAAGGCTAGCGCCCATAGGCCGGATCCCCGCAACCTCGATTCTAATTGGCTACGCTCACGGGCAGCCCGGGATTGGCTCTGCCCAGACAAATCGTGCTTTGAGAGCCGGCGGCGAAGAAGCCGCCGCGGGGCCCGGGCTGCGAGACGCTGCGTTGCAGCACCACGGCCGCTGGACAGCGCCGGGCGGACCGCCGGGGGGGGGGGAGGGGGAATGGGGGTGACAGAATCACAGAATGACAGAAACACAGAGGTTGGAAAAGACCTCCAAGATCATCCAGTCCCACCATCACCAATAGCACTCACTAAACCACGTCCCTCAACGCAAAATCCAAACGTTCCTTCAACACCTCCAGGCTCGGTGACTCCACCACCTCCCTGGGCAGCTCACTGCAGTGCCTGACCGCTTTTTCAGAAAAGCAGAAGTTCCTAACGTCCAGCCTAAATCTCCCCTGGTGCAGCTTGAAGCCATTCCCTCCAGTTCTGTCACTGTTACACGAGAAGAGGCCGACCCCCAGCTTGCTACAACCTCCCCTCACGTAGTGATAGAGAGCAGTGAGGTCTCCCCTGAGCCTCCTCCACACTGAACAACCCCAGCTCCTTCAGCCTCTCCTCATCAGCCCTGTGCTCCAGACCCCTCACAGCTTTGTCGCCCCTCTTTGAACCCGCTCCAGGGCCTCCATGTCTTTCTTGCAGTGTGGGCCCAAATCTGGACACAGCACTCGAGGTGCGGCCTCACAGAGCTGAGTACAGGGGACAATCACTGCCCTGTTCCTGCTGGCAGCACCGTTCCTGATGCGAGCCAGGATGCCCTGGACCTTCTTGGCCACCCGCACACCAATCGACACCCCCAGGTCTGTTTCCTGCATGCAATTTTCCAGCCACCACCCCCAAGTCTGTAGCGTTGCCTGGGGTTGTTGCAGCCAAAGCGCAGGACCTGGTATTTGGCCTTGCTGAACCTCATCCTATTGGCTTCAGCCCAGCTTTCCAGGCTGTCCAGATCCCTCTGCAGGGCCTCTCTGCCCCAGGCAGATCCACACTTCCAGCCAACTGGGTGTCAGCCTCAAACTTCCTAGGGTGCACTCAGTGCCCTCATCCAGGTCACCAGTAAAGACACTGAAGAGGACTGACCCCAGCACCGACCCCAGGGGGACACCACTGGTTGCCAGCTGGATTTGGCTCCATTTACCACCACTCTCTGGGCCCGGCCCTTCAGCCAGTTCCTTATCCAGCCAAGAGCGCACCTGTCCAAGCCACAGCCTGCCAGCTTCTGCAGGAGAATGCAGTGGGAAGGAGAATACTATGAGAATACTCTCCCCCACCCCACATCCTGCAGGGCTCGGCTGCCTGCTGGGCTTCACTGCAGCACTCAGCAGCCTCCACCTTCCCCTTCCCCTTGGAAAAGCAGAGACGAGACGTGGTCTGTGTTAGTTTCTTTATTAATTCATAGTCCGATAGCTGGTGTACTGGGATATGATCTATACATCAGGGGCTAAGACAGGGAGATCCAAAAGGCTTGTTTCCATAACAATTAAAAAAAGGAAATAAAAGTAATTTTTAAAACTTCTAAAAAGCTTCTAGTGTGCAGACTGCAGCATTCTCTAGGCTCAATGTTGGGTGCAGCCTCCCCCTACCAGCCCTACGAGCAATCTGAGCGCAAAGCAATGTCACTGCAGGTGCCGGGCACAGTTGCAGCACAGCACATTCCCTAAGGCGTAGACTAGGCCAAAGCACAGGACCCACACACAACTCTACGGTGATGCTACAGGGTCAGCTGTTGCAGTGGGTCTAGGTAGGTTATTGTACACAGCAAGGGTAATGGATGGAGTCTGTGCCTACTTCGAGGTGGGGTGAGGAAGGGGTTGCCTTGCTTTCCATGGCTAAGCTGGGCCATTTGCTTTGCTGCATCTGGGCTTTTTATCCAGACTGCAGCAGAGCCAGAGACTTTCCTGGCATGTGTGCACCCACTGTGAGACAGGGCTGCCCTGCCTGAAGCTGGAGGTGGGCTTGTTCTGCATGTGGCCACCGAGAGCAGCATCAGGCCCTGCTAAACAAGTCCACAGCCACCTCTGGGGAAAGGGCAAGGGGGTCTCCACACCACCATGCTACAAAGGCCAGGCCCCCACATTGCTTAGGTAAAGGAGAGAGCTGGGGACACAGATCTACTGCTGTCTGCATCCTGTCCTTCCAGGGTCAAGTTTTGTAGCAGATTCAACCTTCTGCACATCTCAGTGCTGCCTGGGCAGCCCTGAGCACCACGATTCTCCTGCCAGAACAGCTGCCCCAGCACTGCCCTTGCTTTCAGGGTGACTGCTTAGCTCGGTGGCTGCAGAAGGCATTAACTTGGCCAAAGTGCAGCCACTCGAGGAAGCAGCTCCCCCCATTTCTGGGATTGGTCCTGGGTGGGCCAACATCCACGGGGTCAAGGGTCTGTGCTCATTTGTGCCCTCACAGGGAGGCCAGGAGGCCCTGCAAAGTAGTGCAGGGCTTCTGGCTCCTGCCAGCTCCTGGCCCATCTCCTGAGCAGATATTGTGCTGAGTAGAGCTAGGCACAATCCAGTGCGTGGCACAAGCCTTCCCTGCTCTCACTACCTATCCTCCCTGGGCCCCAAGCACCTCAGTGCAGGCTGCCAGCCTCACCCCAGCTGAAGCCAGCACAAACTGGGGCTTGCACCATGGACCAGCCCATGGGGCTGCCCCCGTGGGCCTCTCTCTTCTGGCCAAGAAGGGACCAGACTCAGATGGAAGGGCAGGACAAGACAATCTGCCACCCTGTCACACCTGTAGGCTCCCAGCTCTATTCACCAGAGCTGCTCACATACTCCAAAGGCTTTGCCCATCCTGCAGCCTGAAGAGGTATTTGGGAGTGGAGCTGTTAGTGCTTTGTACATACTGCTAGAGTGTCCCTAGGTGTTTGCATAGTATTTATTGGTTCATATACACAAGGCTGATTGCTGTACAGTTTACACTTTCAACATAAGCAACGAGCTCAGTGCTCGGCCCAGAGCCCTGCCCTGGCAGGAGATGCTGCACATGCTGGGGAGAGGAAGGGCAGCCCTGCATCAGGCAACACTGCACCCACAGCCCTCCTCTATCACATCCCCCTATTGCTGCCCTCCCCCTGCCCCAGCACTCACTGAGAGGGATGAGAAGCGAGTCCAGCAGAGGCAAGAATGGTGACAGGGATAGAGCCCCTCTTCTCCTTCAGTGAGCAGCCCCAGCCTCCTTCCTGCCACTGGAGCACTGCACAGGGATGTAGTGACGGAGGCGGATGTGCGAGGGTGGATTCTTCTCCCCTCTCATTTGCTGCCAGTCCAGCTCTGGCCTCCCAGAGGAGCTGAAGGATGCCCCTTGTGCGTGCTGCTGTCTTTAGGCTCCTGATGGCAGCAAGGCAGGGACAGGGTCCCTCTGTTTGCTGGAAGTACTGTAGCTCATGCGTCTTGCAGTCAGTCAGTCATGCGGATAGGACGGTAAGTATCTCGTACAGAAATCATGCCATTAGCCTATTGAAACATGTACAGCCAGCCCTGCTTCCCTCCAATCTCTGTCTTCCTCTCCTCTCTTCTCAGGTTGGTGTGGAGATCAGTGGTTTGGTGTTGAGGTGAGATCCTGGGGAGACACAGAAAGACACAGAGATGGGGTCACCAGGCTCACGTAGTCCCAGCCTACACTTGTTCCAAATGCACCCGTTCTGACCACCCACAAGATGAGTTTTACAGCAGGGTGCCAGAGAGGCAGCATCAGAGCATCGATGAGTGCCCTGCCTGGAACCCACAGCAATGGCACAGATGGTACCAGTGGCGCCACCTCAGATGCAGAGAGCAGCAACAAGTAGGAGCTGAGCTTCACCAAAGCCAGAGCAGCAGTGGAAGGAGCTGGGAAGGCTGCTGTAGAGCCTGGGACAGACATATTCCATCCATTGGAGGCCAGCCCTGTTTCAACAAGGGTGACTCACTGCACCTTGTTCTCACAGCAGCATGGAAGACCCCATAAGTTGTTAATGCATTTCCTGAGCTGCTTTTGCATGCTGTAGAAAATAGCAAGAGTAAAGCAGCAGGAAGACTGCCTCGAGTGAGGCTGGCCCAGGGACTCTCTAGGGACAGCTGCAGACAATAGACACTGTCTGTATGACCATATGTCCACAAACACAAAGGTCTTGACTATCATATACCACAGATATCTCACTAACAAAAATTAGAAATTGGAGAGAGAGAGGAGACAGATACCATCATGCACATACATCCCTGCTACCTTTAACCCAGCAGTACAAAGAGCTGGCACAAAAGGAAGAGCAAAGGGGGGGGTTACCTCCAAAGAGGCCATTTGAGGGGGGTCAATGCTTCCCCCTTTTCAGACTGGCTCGTTTCACTATCTGAGCCCCCATCCTGCTCCCGGAGACCTCCAGTTTTGGGACACGCACTTGCACCTCCTCCTGAGGGAGCCACAGGGACAGGAGGCAGGACATCACCCAGGTGAACAGACAGACACAGAGAAAAGGACAGGAGAGGGAAAGGCTGAGTCAGTCAGCAGAAGACACCAAGCAAGAAGACTGGTGCAGGGGCAAGAGCAGCCCCTGGTAGCCTTAGGAGGGAAACAGGTGAGAGAGATGAGCAGGACAGAAGAAAGGACAGAGGATGGAGGAGCCCTGGAGCCCACAAGTCCTGCAGAGGCAGTGCTGGCCCCGAGCAGGGGACTTGCAAGGCACAGCCATGAACCACACCATACCTTGGCCCCCAGACCGTCCCTCTGTAGGATGGAGTACATGAAGTGATCAGCCTCTGCCTCCAGCTCTTGGGGCTCCTGCAGGGAGCCCTCCAGGATCAGGTCCTCACGCTCCTGCCTGTCATCTGTGTCATTGGGGCCCAGATGACGCACCACCTTCCGGATGACCTGCGGAGACCCATGCAGCCTTCATCACTGCCAGCCCCGACACCAGCCCACACAAGAGGACACGGCCAGCCCCGACACCATGCCTTCCTTCTTGCAGGTCTGGCCCTCAGCCCCGTGCACACCACCCCCTGGCAGAATCTGTGGCTGGAGAAGAGCCACGACAGTAATTAGAGAAAGCAGAATGCAAGCACCCTGTGCAGGGCCCTGGGCTGCAGAGAGGGGCCACATGGAAAGAGAGAGGAGGAAGACTTTGGAGAGCACCCTACAAAGACTCGGCCCCATTCACTCACCTTCTTGGTGATTATATTGCCTTGTTCATCTGTGAACTGCTCCTCAGTCACATGCTCCCCAGGTAAATGGAGGACTTCGTTGCCCTGGAGGGACAGGAGGAAGAGCATTTCAGGGTGCAGCAGAGCTCTCCAGCATGCAGCCCGGCACACACACAGCCCCAGCCCTGTCTCTGCTCTCTGCTGTGCACCCCAGCACTGCTCCCTGCCCATTACCTTCACAAGGACACGCCGGCGGACGACCCTGGTAGAGAAAGACTCCTCGTCGTCCGCCAGCCCCTGGCTCTCCCCGAGCTCCTTGTCCAGCTCGCGGTGCGCATGATTGAGCAGGAAGCGCACAGAGCCCCTGACGATGTACAGGACATTCTGGCAGCTGACCAGGAAGAAGGCCAGCAAAACCACGACAATCAGCAGCTGGACCAGGAAAGACCACATCCTGCCCCTGCAGGGTCGTGCATGTGCCCCACACCCCCTCTCAGAGCCCAGCCATGCTGTCGGTTGTGGCGGGCAGAGCTCTGGGCACAGGAGCTGCCCACAGGTCCGCACGTCTCTGCAAAGCACTGCTGTAATCCTAGCTGCTGCAGATCAGCTGCCCGGGGCGGGAGAAGGGAGAAGGCAGGTGGGGTGTCCTTTGCACTCACAGCTTCTGTCAAAGTCATGGGATTGGGACTGCAACAGCAACACCCGTCCCCTGTCAGGCAGTGACAGGGACAGCCATGACCCCCTCCCCAGCAGCCTGACAGGGCAGAGAGCAGTCATCTGTCACAGGACAGACGGAGCTACACGTGGCACAGAGCTGAGCTCTGCCGTGTTGCAGCTGCAGTCCTGCTGTGCCTGCTTGGGGGCACACGCCTGCTCTCATCCCATCCCTATCAGATCCACATGGCCATGGCGGGATGCCCATCACCCCTCCTGGCCCCCAGACCAGCTCTATTTCTGGCCCAGTAAGCTGTCAGGCCAGCGGCCAGGGCAGATACTCAATAAGGAAGCAAGCAGAGGGCCTGCCTGAGTTATAAATGGAGAGCAAGAGCTCACATATTGGGTGTGCAGCATTCTATTCTGGGCCAAGAGGCACCCCAGGGGCCAGGGCAGCAGTTCTGCCGGGACTTCTTGATCTGGTGGTGGGCAAAAGGCTGCACCCGCTGCTGTTCTCAACCTCACCTGCCCAAAGCCGTGGCTGTCAGGCTCCTCTGGCCAGCCGCCCGCGGGGTGCTGGGGCTGCCAGTCGCTGTCCTCTGTGGAGCTGACCCGCATCAGCTCCACGTCCGGCGCCAGGACCTGCTCTTGCTCCTGGCCCTGCGCCCCAGCAGCCACGGTGTGTGCTGGGCCCAGCCGTCGGGTGACCCCCTCCTGCCAGGAGCCCTCTGTCAGGTCCTGTAGGCAGGAGATAAAGGAGCCTTCTGCATTCCAGTCCCTCAGCCTGGACGCCGGAGAGGGACAGGGAGAGAGAGACAGAGAGAGAGAGGCAGTCAGCTTTGTTGGAGTGTTGCACCCAGAACACCAGCTGACAGCTGGGCACAGCTGCACCCCGCCAGGCACAGAGCTCCTGGTGCTGCCAGTGCCTGGCACAAGCAGCATACAATGCAGATGCACAAAAGGCACGGGCCTTCTCCCTGCCACGCTCTATGCCCATCCAACACCCCAGTTTGCAGGCTTCCGGGCCATGCCTCGAAACATCACTGGGCTGTCATGGCACCAGTGCTGCTGTGAAGATGGCAGAACAAAGCCCTGAGATGGTGCTGGGAGGCACAACCCACATGCAGGGCCCGGCTGTCTGCAGGGATTTCCCCTGGGTGCTTTTCAAGGAGCCCCCAGAGAGACTCCAGAAGGTTTACAGGCACTCTGCCCAAGCCACTGCTCTGTGCGGGGTGCTGGGCTCCAGAGCTGGAGGTTAGCAGGGAAGCAAGCGAGGCTGGGAAGTTATTGCAGCTGGCCCAGCACAAGGCAGTAGCTGGCGAAGCTCCCCTTCCACTGCCCCTCTGTCACTGGGACCACCATACCTGTCTGCACTCCTCTCCACTGTGTGGCTCACAGTCGGCGATGCCACGATCCTGGCTTGTACCTTCTGTTGAACTGAAACAAAAGAGACTTCACCCTCTGGGTTTTGCTCTCCAGTCCCCAGCTGGTGGTCCCTGGCTGGCGTCTTCCCTTCTGGCCTCTGCCCTTCCTCCTGCTCTAGCAGTTCAATCAGCCCGTTCATGGCATCTGAGTCCACTGTGTCATCCTCAACTAAGTCCATAGAGCCCATGTGGTCTGGGCCGTGTGCGTCTGTCAGAAGTTGCCCTGGGAAACGACCTTCGCTTGTGGCATCCGAGTCCTCAGCCTTGCTGCACTCCAGAGAGGAGTCCTCAGCCGTCACCAGTGAAGGGGTGAGCCCTGAGGACCACACCTGCATGTCAGACATCTCCATCAGGGCGTCCTGCTCGGTGGCGGCCATAGGGATGGCGTCCATGATGGCCACCTCGTTCCAGTACTGGTCAGCACGCAGAGGGGATGGCAGCATATAATGCAGGGAGGCAGGGGAGAGCAGCTCGTCCTGCAGCGAAGCATAACCTACATGGGCAGACAGAGGCGATGTCTCCAGCAGCCATCTCACACACACACAAGCACAGCGGGGCGAGAAGGGAAGGAGCCTCTGGAAGGTGCGCGCTCACAGCAGCTGCTGCCTTCGCGCAGTCCCTCCTGTCCCTGCAAGTGCCCCCGTGCCTCACTCTGAGTGCTGGGGCTGGGCGGCCCCTGAGGCTGTCCATTCCCCTGGTGAGGACAGGCCTGGGGACTGGTGATGCCCCATCCCCACTGCAGGACATGGTGCCCTCTCTAGCACCCTGCTCTACCAGCCCCCAGTCCCTGCCCACAGCCCCCAACCAGCATCTGAAGGTCAGCCTGGAGCTCAGGTAGCCAGGTGCTGCAGGCACCAAATTCCCAAAGCTGACCCATGAGCAAGGAAGGATGATCCTGGCAAATGTCATGCAGCCCTGAAGCCCTGCACGATGCAGCCAGGGCCCTATAATCCCACTGATGTCCTCAGGTCTATAAGCAATCATCGTGTCCTCATGCACAGCCCAGACACACCAACAGAGACTACAGCCAAGCCAAGCAGTCTCAGGCATGCAGGCAGCATCTTTTTTTCCTTTACTGAGCCACAAGCCCTTTGTTAAGCGCTTTGGAATGAAAGAGAAATCCTGCTCCCCAGCAGCCGGGAATCGTCAGAAGTAGCTGGAGCACAGTGTTCAGCCAGGAGCCCCCAGCCTCCCTAAAGTAGCGCAGGGCCACTAAGGGAAGAGCATGACACATCCAAGAGAGAAGCAGTCCTGGGTGACATGCAGCTGCTGGAACAGGACACTGCTCCCAGAGGGTTCAGCTGAGGTGGAAACAGTGTAGACAAGCAGAGGAGGAAGATGAGAGAGGCCAGGGTGAACTCGAAGGTGACAACAAGTGGCCCCCAGGAATGCCCACATCTGGTGGCAGTAGGTGGCACATTTAAGAGAACACAACAAAGGCAGATACGAAAGGGGAAAGCGATGAGCCAGAGCTGTATGGGTGGTGCCTGGGGGCAGGACAGCAACAGCCCCATCCCTGCCCATGGCACTGGCTCTCCCGTGGGACACGTGGCTGGTCCTGCTCCCACGCACAGCCATGGCTGGGCACAGGTGATGCTGGGAGCAACAAGCCAGGTGCATCCTGCACTGGTACCTCAAGAGGAGGATGCCCCACATGTCTGTTCTCCATGAAGAGCAGGACCAAGGTTCCCATAGCACAAGTCCCCATGGAGAGACTGCAGCTATCTGCAGCACCTGGTGCTCACCAAGCTCCTAGGGGCAGTGCAGCTGACTTGGGACAGACATCAGCCCCACTGTGTCCGCAGTGACTCTGCTCCTAGCCCCTCTGGTATCCCCTGCACAGGACATGGGGCTCACCATTCATCTGGGAGGGTGAGAGTGAATAGTCCCTGTCTGTGTAGCGCCAGCTGCCCTTCATGCTGCGGCTCTGCCGGCCGGAGCCCTCCAGTGTGCTGACGATCTCACTGCGGTCAATGTTCCTCAGCGCCGCGTACAGGTTCTCAACTGCAGGGAAAGCCAGTGTCAGTCAGCAGGCAGGGCAGGCTGGCAGTTGTGGCCATGCCCCAGCTGCCCTCCAGGTAGGTGTGCAGGAACCGGTGGTCCAAACTGAGCCAGGGAGCCCTGAGCACACACATATAGGCTGCACGCCCAGCCCAGACACCACCACCCTTGTAGCGGGAATCAATACTCACTCTTGACACCCTTGCCCTCGCGGCTGACCCAGAGGTTGAGTAAGGCTATGCTCTGCTCCAGCAAGGAGTTAGGGTTCTCCACACGAATCCTGTTGATGTCATCCACCCCAAACTGCAGCTCACGTGCCAACTCTGGGAGAGACACAGCATCTCAGCATCACATCCATGGGCAGCTCCCCAGACAGCATAAAGGACATTCACGCCACCCTGCAGCATCTTTTTAGTCTTCCTAAGTGCTGAGCTTCAAGGTGCACTGAGCATCCATCAGCTGAGGACTCACCTGCCCAGCTGAGGCCGAGCTGCTCTGCGATGTCGATCATCTTCTGGTCTGCCCTGTCAGTGCTGCTCAGAGAGCCTGGAGGAGAAGAGGGGGTCACAACTCCAGCTGTGGGTTGGGGTAGGAGTGAGGTGCAGGCTGCAGGGGCTCAGCATAGCCCCACAGGCAGGACCAGAGAAATTCCCTGGGAACAGGAGGATGCCACGCACGCAAGTGCAGTAGGGTCATCCCAGCCCTTCTTCCTGGGCTGGGCACCCCTACCCTAAGCAAAGGAGGTGAGATGCTTGAACAGACCAGTAGGCTGCGTACCGAAACTGCTCTCACTTAGGATGCTATATCGCTCCCTCAGAGACAAAGGTGTCAGTGTCCTCCTTCGCTCCTCAGTGCCACTTCCCTGCAAAGTGGGGACAAACCAAGGGGTCACCAGCCAGAAGAGAGAGAAACAGCTCAGCCCTGGCACCTGCACAGCCCCAGCACAGCATGGTGTGGCTGCTTTGAGAAAGGAGAGCTGACCTTAGTGCAGGGTGGAATGCTGATGTTGAGGTGACAGAGCACATGCTGCAAGTCCTCATACTTCATGGCCTTGCGCAGGAAGGACAGGGAGCCACTGGCTTCCCGGCTGCTGTCCCGGACCTGCACACCAAGCACCCAGGTGGGGGGTTGGAACAGGGCACAGGGTCCCAGCACAGTCCAACTCTGCACCTGACATTACCTTGATGGGGAGGGCGAGGCGGTTCTCCCGGAAGGACTGGAAGAGGAAGGTGCGCGACTGCGTGGCCTTCTTGATGGGCACCAGGTTCCCTGAGAGCTCGACATGCAGAGGCATTCCCTCCACCACCTGCAGGGAGCGAAACACGGGCTAGGACCCTGCACAGAGCAGCTTCTTCCTTCTGTCCTCTAGGAACGTTGCAAGAGACAAACCTCAATGTCCCTGCTGCGGGCCACCTCAGTGAAGTTCTCGTGCTGCTCCAAAGTCTTGTCCACCTTGTCATCAGTCATGCAGTAGCAGCGCAGCCGGCCTTCCCGTCCATCATTCATCTTGGCAAATACCACAAATTTGGCCATGTAGGGCACAGCTGTCAGTTCCTTGTACAGCATGGTGGCAAAGTGCACAGCCTCAGCAGTGCGCGGGCAGTCAGCCAGCCAGAACCTGTGGGAGGGGTGGATCAGCATGGGGAACCGGGGG